CCGGACTGTCGGTGAGAGTAACTAACAGCCATCTTGGTGGCTGTTTTAACTTGGTTACTGAGTTAAAATTCGAAGATTAAAGATAAATTTCTTTATGAAGCGTTCTAAATATCTGCCGAGCACAAAGGATGAAAGGAAGACGTCGCTGGCAAATAAAGAAAGTAGACGGAAGCGGGCGGGGATATTTGTAACACGGGAATCGAATTCGTGCCGTGGCATTTAGTTGGAGCCTATCGTCAGAGATGGTACCAATTGCTTGAAAGATGACCCGGAAACTATTATCATCTTTGGCCACGGACATTGTTAAAATGAAGTGAATGCCCTTTTATTAGCTTTCTTCAAGCCGTGGTAATTTTGTATAGAGGCCATTTTGTGTGCTTCCCTAAAATGAGACACTTCACGACTCGTGGTCGAATTGCTTGCCTGCGTGAAAGCCTAGCGTCGAATTAATTATACGTTTGCCTTAGAGGGGCCAAATGCACTTACAAATGCATTTTCGATGTCCTTATCGAAAGGTTCATTGAAACGCCTTAACATCAAATACGATGGCGTTATTGCAATTGTAGTTTAATGTGCACGCTTTTTCAAATCAGCCTTAGCTTACCCTGCAGTGACTAATGACAATCCTAAGCGTTACCTGGGAGAGAAACTGATATTATTCATTTGCAGGACAGACTATATATCACACATTGTATCGAGAAGTGGATTTCGCTTTGAAAATTTAAAAAAAAGATGCGTGTTACAATTCATATTATAACACAAAACACTATTCCTATTCCCAATTCTTAATGTTTTCCTAATTGATTAATGTATAATCCAAAAGTAACAGATTCTAAAGATTAATATACAAACACAACATAAAGAATGTATAGGAATTTCAAAGGGGTGTACAAAGATGCATGTGTCCGATCAATGTTTAAAAGACACCTTTTATTGTATAACTAAGTTATGTTATCGTAATTCTCACAATGCACGTCACTTGGATGACGTGTGTGGTTGATCATCGGGTGGGTATTGCTTCTTGAAGGATGTCTGGTTTGTTTGTTGTTCAGTTATTTGATGTGTGTCTGTAAATAACCCAGGCTGTGTAAGACAAGGCAGACATTAATCACTATTAAGCCATACAAAGATGCTCTCTCGGTGTTTTACCTCTTCCAAGACTATATAGACACCTAAACGTATAGTATCATCGTCGTTTCATTGTTTATTTATGATGATTGTGACATATTACTGACATATTGTCCTCCTGTAGCATTTGCTCATGTCGATAGTATCAGTCACTACTGTGTTGTAGCGACGATAGAATATTGTACTGGCGGAGACGAGGTGTTGTAACTATTCATATACTTCTCAACACTATTTCCTGTGGATTTTGTTTTGGCTGAGGATTTAGGCTTTGTTTTCTGGCGTTTTGGTATCAATATGAACAGAAACATACATTACACCTTAATTATATTTCTCCAGGAGATGCAAAAGAGCATTTTACCAGTTGAACGAAAAGAAAGTCTTTTGCAACGGGCCAGTATTCACGTTGAAAAAGATTTGATTGGAGGAAAATGTTAATCTCCGTTCAAGTCTCCGCCAAAGTTTTCATTCTCTCATAGGCCATTAAACATCTTCAAAAGTATTCACAGACTTGAAAGAGAGGCCGGCACTGACGCTTCCTCCGTTGATAATTCTTTCGAAATTTGAGGGGGAAGATAATTCAGAAAACTTCTTTTTATTCTCGCCTAGAGGGTGCTTTAGGCGTTTCATTTGCTTCACAGTTCGCGCTACCACTCTTGTGCAGAATTTAGAGGAAGGGTTTTGAATTAAATACGATGAAAAAACATGAAAAGCTACCCTTTAAAAATGAACTCTTAAAACGCCTTGCGAATTCGAACAAATGAGATATTTTACATTGATAGTATTGATGACGGCCTTGAGTGCACTTGAGAAATGCACCATTCAGGCATTAAAAACTACGCAAATATTAAAGCGACAACAGCGCAAGCGGAGGGACACAGCGGACGATCTAGATCCGGCGTTTCACTCAACGAGTGTCTATCATTCCGCGCTTGCCTTTCCCAAGGTTAGTCCCCCAAGGCCAACAAAATCTCTAAGAGAATTAAGTGCGACAAACATTAATTTTATCCTCGCACGAAAATCGCAATGAGATCTCGGAAGGCTAATGGTTTTAGTAACGGTGGATGTCAATATCATCTGTATAAAATATCCATTCATTACTATGGTATGGGTAATTCCAAACAGAACTTGGTAAAAGAAACATTTATCGTTTCTGATTGAATTTATTGGTGTTTAATGACAAACACGATGGCATTAGCGAAGGAAATTATAACAGTTTGCAAGCATGGCAAATTTTATTTGCAGTTTTTGGACGGTGTATTAGACAACAGGGATGTTTATGGGTACCACTTTTTAACCAATAACGAGTTTATTGCAGCACCTAAACGATAAAGTAATAAACCGCCTTACAGCGAAGTATATTCTTTAATCTTTGCCAACGATCAGTAACACAGCGTTATTCCCATGTTTTATTTTAATCGTTCACATTAATCAATGATTCCCAGAGCTAAATGGAACGTTGTAAAAGATCCCAATAAAACTGCTAGGTTCTGTTTATAAAAGCGCTCGCTCGCTGTATGAAAGACGAGATCTGAATGCCACTTGATGTAAAAATACGGGCTTTGCCTCGGGCATGCAATACTACTCTATATAACAATAAGCAAATTGCCAATTAACATTCCATGGAATACAAAACGTGCATCGAACCATATTCCGTTGTCAGAAGCATTGTACGTAACTCCCCATTACGTAGGTGTCGTTTGTATGTACATGCGTGTGACAGGAGAAAGGGGAAACATGTTTGTGATGCCATAGAAATGATCTAATGCATGTGAAGGGCACAGACGATTATTATTTTCATTACGAAAGTTGGACAATATTTTGCAGTCGACGAACCCAGAAACTGATGAATGGTCATCAACCCTGTATTCTTTCAACCTACCACTAGCAAGTCATCCGTCTACCGTGTCTACCATATCTGCCGTCAATTGCAACATAGAACTGGCCAGCCATCAGACTACCTGTCAACCTACCAGTGGCCAGTGATTAGTCTCCCACGTTTCCTGTGAACCTACCACTGGCCAGCCATCAGCCTACCATGTCTCCTGTCAACCTACCACTGGCAAGCCATCAGTCTACCCAGTCTCCTGTCAACCTACCACTGGCCAGCCATCAGCCTACCATGTCTCCTGTCAACCTACCACTGGCCAGCCATCAGTCTACCATGTCTCCTGTCAACCTACCACTGGCCAGCCATCAGCCTACCATGTCTCCTGTCAACCTACCACTGGCCAGCCATCAGCCTACCATGTCTCCTGTCAACCTACCACTGGCCAGCCATCAGTGTACCCTGTCCCTGTCTCCTGTCAACCTACCACTGGCCAGCCATCAGCCTACCATGTCTCCTGTCAACCTACCACTGGCCAGCCATCCATCATGTCTAACCTACCACTGTCTCCTGTCAACCTACCACTGGCCAGCCATCAGCCTACCATGTCTCCTGTCAACCTACCACTGGCCAGCCATCAGCCTACCATGTCTCCTGTCAACCTACCACTGGCCAGCCATCAGCCTACCATGTCTCCTGTCAACCTACCACTGGCCAGCCATCAGTGTACCCTGTCTCCTGTCAACCTACCACTGGCCAGCCATCAGTCTACCATGTCTCCTGTCAACCTACCAGCCATCAGCCTAGCCATCTGTCTACCTACCACTGGCCTCCTCTACCATGTCTCCTGTCAACCTACCACTGGCCAGCCATCAGTCTACCATGTCTCCTGTCAACTACCTACCACTGGCCAGCCATGATTGGCCAGTCTCTACCATGTCTCCTGTCAACCTACCACTGTCCAGCCATCGGTCTACCATGTCTCCTGTCAACCCACCACTGGCCAGTCATCATACTACCTATCAACCTACCACTAGCCAGTCATCAGCCTACCATGTCTCCTGTCAACCTACCACTAGCCAGCCATCAGACAAACATGGCTCCTGTCCACCTACCACTGACCAGCCATCAGCCTACCATGTCTCCTATCAACCTACCCTGGCCAGCCATCAGCCTACCATGTCTCCTGTCAACCTACCACTGTCCAGCCATCTGTCTACCATGTCTCCTGTCAACCTACCACTGGCCAGTCATCAGCCTACCATGTCTCCTGTCCACCTACCACTGGCAAGCCATCAGTCTACCATATTTCTTGTCAACCTACCACTGTCCAGTCATCAGCCTACCATATTTCCTGTCAACCTACCACTGGCCAGTCATCAGCCTACCATATTTCCTGTCAACCTACCACTGGCCAGCCATCAGCCTACCATGTCTCCTGTCAACCTACCACTGGCCAGTCATCAGCCTACCATATTTCCTGTCAACCTACCACTGTCCAGTCATCAGCCTACCATATTTCCTGTCAACCTACCACTGGCCAGTCATCAGCCTACCATATTTCCTGTCAACCTACCACTGGCCAGTCATCAGCCTACCATATTTCCTGTCAACCTACCACTGTCCAGTCATCAGTAACCTGCACCCGGCCGATCACGATGCTAGTCCGAAACTTTGAAAAAGGAGGTGACATTTAATGTTGATATATGCAAATGACTTCGTCCAGGCATTCTTGCATTGTGGCCTCACACACATGTGAAAGTACATCTCATCTACTTACATCTTACCCAAGAAGAAACAGAGAGTGGGTAGTGCGTTTAAACTATTTACTGACACTAGTCCTGTGGTCTGGTTCAGTTCATTCTGGGTTATTCAGATACTCATCTCTATGGCTCTACCTCATCACACTGACTAATGTCTCCACAACAAAGCACGTCAGTCCGAAAGGAACCAGTCAAATTAAATCATCCAGATTTCACGCAATCACAATGATGACATTTAGGTCACAAAAGTAACAGTTATAGTCGAGGTATATAAGTTTTCTGACTGTGGGTTGGACAGTATTGTCACGGGTAGGCCTCCAGCCATCCGTAGCCGTCCGTTCGTGTTATCATGAGGTAATCCACAGTAGGACAGAGCCAACGATGCTTCTATAACTGAAACACAAGTCTTGTCAGTTTCCGATAACTACTACATGTATGTTTTAAAGGTGTCACTTTACTGTATCTGAGCCTCGTGGTAACCCGAAGGAGGTATAGTAGTTAGACTGGTGGTCATAACGTTGACCCGTCCCGCTGAAAAAACGGTTCATTTGCTAATGATCGAGAAGCCCATAGATTGTGTCTCCATGTCGCGATATCTGTAGAATGTGGATAAAAGCGGAGTCAAAATGTATTCACTTACGCACGCACACATCTGAGAGCTCTCAGCGATGGGCATGTTCATCCTTTCGCCATCACCTGTTGCCAGCATTTATCAGTCTCACCAGCTTGTGGTCAAGATCTATTGAATGGAGATTCATGGAGAGTGCAGACAATACATGGTCAATCCCTATGTACAATGAAGCTCCGCTATGTCGAACTATCCCTGTGAAATCGTGGGTATGAAAAAGTATCGGATTAACGTCTAGTTTGGGTCCGAACGTCTAGCCTCTTAACCACACCCTGGATAAGGATGTTTTGGAGCAGATAAGTTAAACTACTCGTTTGCTGTCGAGTAGTTATAAAACCTTGACTGAAAGAATCTCGTCCTGAATGACACTTCAGAGGTGAGGTGAAATTGGGTTTAACGTCGTGCTTGAGAATATTTCGCTCATATGACGACGTGCATGCGTGTGTATGTGTATGTGCGGCTGCCTGTACTAGCCCAGATTGAAGCTGGTTTTATAGTGCTAGCCCACTGAGATACCATGCCGCAGTGAAGCATGAATATCCCACTCAGACACATTATACTCCGAGCTGACCAGTTCTTGTTGTACCTATTAATGCCGAACGCCAGGCAGGGACCAACAAGTACCATATTTTAACGTCTTTTGGTATGACGCGGTCGGGGATCGAACCCGCGACCTTCCGCTCTCCGGGCGGACGCTCTAACCACTACACCACGGAGGCGGTCGACACTTCAGAGTCCAAGATGTACTCTGATCTGAAAGCCGTCTGCATAAAACACACATACATTCTTATAAACCACAAACAACTAAATCAATCCCTTATGGTTTTAAACTGCATACTATGATCTGAAACTAGTACTGTCCAATTGGACGATTCTAGATTGGCGAGGATCAAATCTAAATAAACCACTTTTAGCAATTAACCTTGCACGCTGAATAGCAAAGCAAAATTACCAGTCCAACTGGAAGGCTCATATTAACTTACGCAGGGCATTCTATTTTATCCAGAAGCGATTCATAACGGTAGTTGAGAACTCGTCTGCGTTATGCCTATGTGTCTGTACTGACCGCATGGAACAGGAAGAAACACGATAGCTGATGAGAGTAATTTGATATTACAGAAGGCAAATGGCAGGAGCCTCATTCAAATCACGCGCAACTCATAGCCAATTTCAAATTATGGCCTGTTACCATCTTCTGAAGACGTGCCAATTTTATGAGGAAAATGTGCAAGTTCTTTGTTATGTCAGGCGCCAAGGCTTCTATGTTAATTGTGTAATGTCGTCTCCTGGTGTTTTCATAGAATTTCTAAGTGTGAACCAGAGACTGGAATATAGGAGTTAATTACCATCCACAATATTTTCATAAGTGAACCTGTCGCTTGTGATTAATCCTTCAAAACAACTGCACAGTTGCAGTTTCATAGCTTTCTGGTGTGTATTTTTAGCATGTAAGAATTTCGTTTCATACTCGTTATTGAGATAATATGGTAACATACAGTTAATGTTGAAAGTGACATTTGACTACTGAAATCTTCGGTTCTTGAGAAAACTGCTACTACCTCTACACCTGAGTGCCACGAGACTCGTTTTCATTATAAATGTTGGTGCACTGTATACACCATCTGCGTCTAAAGGTCACGATACCATACACACCCATGTTTCACTGTAGTTCCATCATGTCAAAACACTTTATGTCTATTTCTAAGCAATGAATGTGTTTCTTCTTTTCAAAAGACTGCACGTTTCAGCAAATACCGCCTTAAGGAAACAAATCACTCGCGAAATCAGTGAATATCCGGCATCAAATATCCACCGAAACAGATTATATTGGGCAAAACGATTATTTACTTACATCCACCATTATTCCAAAGACTGCATCTCATTGTATTTGTAAATCCGTTATTTAAATGTTCCTGTTCTCTCTTTCACTTGACTTAGCATGAACCTGTTATTGTCGTAACATACGACTTCATGACTCAATTGTTGGTGACCTTTGCATGTCCTTCACATTGCTTAATGTTACCAGGCCTACACAGTCTCTGGTTGCGATGGCGACGAACCAGTCTGTGAACGTCACATACTTTTACTAGGATGCTACAAATACAGGTTTCGGTACAAATACGACCTTATGCAGCTGACAGGCGTGACACTTTGGTGATAGTAGTAGAAAGTATGTGTATTAATATGTGAAAATAGCTGACTTGACATTTTCGATTATCTTGTCTAAATATGACAAAAGAGAGCGTTGGAGATGTTGTGTTTTTGTTCCCTTGACAATGCGCGAACGGTTAGGGTACTGCGTGGTAATGTCACACGCTCCGTGCTGTGAGAGCGATAAGCAAAGTTTACAAGTACGATGTGACATTATCAGTATATCAAAGATTAAGAAGAATTTACGTCTTGGATGCAACGTTAACAAGATTGTCCATGCTTGCTCAGCTGCAGCATTAATGCTGAAAACGGAATGCAGTTTCCCTCCATGAAACTATCACACGTGAATACACTCCTTGTTTATCCGCCTCAACAGATTACATTTTGAGCGAACATTAATAGGGAAGGACCGCTGAAAATCAGTGATGACACCAGGAATTCTCCTAAATGAATGTATCAAAATGTGAGTGTTTGTCAGATTACATTGCACGAAGGCATACATATTGATTTCCTTTTCTCATTATGGCTCATTATGACATTAGTCGAAACAAATGCAGCATGGGCTTTCCAAAATGGCCATTTTATCTGACGTTTCTTTCTGGTTTTCAGCGAAAGATGGTTGTCGTGTGATGAAAAAACAAATCTATGTGAATGTACATTGGTGTAACTCATATCGTATACTCGTTTGTATCTGACAGCTGTGCCAATGATAGTGGTGAGGATAGGTATCATGATCCCAGTGTCAAACATTATGTTGTTTTCAATGTCTTTTCCCTACGATTCCTTGCTGATACAGCAAAACTGTGATAATCACTCAAAATGTATATTAACTTTGTCTCTGGAGAATAATGTGTACGTGTGTAGCATAGTGAATATGTTTTCAATTGTATCATGTCCATGACTATATGTAATGAATGAGGGAAGGACACCTTTGTTATTATTTCCTACTGGAATGATTCTAGGTGTAATATAACCAACACCCACTTCGACAAGGAGTAAAATTTGTTTCAAAATCTCTATGATGATAAAACTCTTCTGGGATGGGCAAAATATATTAACATTGATTCAATCTAAAAACATGTATCAACGTTAAAATGAGGAATTTAAAGTTACAGGTGCATAAAGCAAAATATATTGCTTCACAAATATTGTGCTCACTCATTCACACAAATATAATTCTGATATTTGTTTGAGCAAGACATACAGAAGCTACAGAAGGAATGATTATACGGGCTGGATGATTATCACCAAAAACAGAGTGTGCCCCGACTGCAAAATGTTGTTTGGATAATTGCATCAAAGCCTGCGAGACACAGACGTAAAACAATCATCTACCATCTATCATCTCAGAGCAAGAACATAATTGCATCAATAAAATATTATCATGATGTGTTAGAGTAATATGTTTATGTAATCAGTTAACACAGTCTCTTCAGTGTTATAAAGAGACTAAATTAGGTTACATCATTCAGATAAACCAGTCCGAATGTGTGGAACGACAAAGTGCATTTAGGTTTCACAAAACAAATGAAGATTATATATCATGAATGTATAACGTCCCAAGATGCAGTCGTGTAATTGGAACCTGTGAGTAATGCCCATCGACAGTTGCCTGAGCATTAAATAAAAAAGTCCAATTAGTTTCAATATCTAGATAATAATGATCGTAGACATGCGTCACGTTGATTCATAATCTATATATTTGGGTTACAATTACTCATAGATACAAAGGCAAACTAACCGCATTCTAATCTCAGGAGATATCGCATGCTGAGATCGCCGTATCTCATTTTAGCCAAGCAACATAAATATGTTTTCTGTGCTGCCCCTTTAACAAACACCTGGGTCATTCCTGTATTACTCTGATCCATTGATGTATATTGTCGGCTAGTTTCCACTATGCACCCAAAGGAATCTGTGGCGTTGTTTTGTGGCTAATTGAGCCTGGTTAATCTCTCCGTTAACATTATTATTTACACGCATAAGATTAACAGCATAAAAGAGGATCTTGTGAGCTTACCCATTTGGCAACAACGTGGGTCATCACTGCTTCACATCGAAACAGTCAACTATAGTTTACCACCAGGTCGCTTTGGGCGACCATTTGAATCTGTTTATGTGGATACTCTAGACTGGGTAAGCTTGTTTGATATCTATATCATGACCGAGTGGTCTTAGTATGGTACTCTGAGCTTTTGGTTTGACCTTACCTATCCGAACTGTGTAATATCCAACACATCTTCTCTCTGGCTGATAAAGCAATTGTAAACTAATACAATTGAAGGCTGAAATGGTAACGTTTGACCACATCAACGTTCATGTAGTGCATGTGTAGCAGTGCTCTTATTAATATTGTCAGAAACTAAGCTCAATCACAATTCATTTCATCATGTATCACATCAAACATCACAACAAGTATCATATCAAACATAAACAACTATGTTAAATGTTCATTTGCTCTATGTTGTCCGTGTTTGCTGTTGAACATCTTCACCCTTGTCTTCTGTTTTCTGGAGCCTTGTTTGTAAGGATTTCCCTTTACTTCCTCTCTATTCTTAGCCAGTTAACCCATCCTTTGGGATTTCCCTTTCTTTTTTTAGGTCACATCCAAGACTTCCTTTTATGTGTTACCTACTTCCTAATTGGTTATTGCGTCCTCCGACCTTACTTCTTCTGGACACCTGTTTTCCGTCTCACTCCACTTGCTGTTGTTGAGCTGGAAACATCCTTCCCTTTATTAGGTATGGCCATTTTTATTATCTGTTTCTATCTGCCTCTTTATTTCATAATTCAGTATAGGTGCAAAATGTTATTGAAATAATACTAGTACAATATCAAAAGTAATATTCCATTGTTAATAAATAAATTTGATAAACTAAATCAGTTTTACAATTAGTGTAAATTGTACGAACGAACGACAGGTGACAGGTACACCCTAGGATATCGATAGAGTTTAGACAGCCAGTGAACGAACGATAGGTTACAGGTACACCCTAGGATCTCGACAGAGTTTAGATGGCCAGTGAACGTTACGTTACAGGTACATCCTAGGATCCCGATAGAGTTTATATCACCAGTGAACGATATGTAAAAGGTACATCCTAGGATCTCGATAGAGTTTAGGTGACCAGTGAAGGATAGGTTACAGGTACTGTAAAGACTATGTTGACTCGGACTACTATCAATGAGGCCATGGATTTGGTGGACTAGGTCGCCTCACTAGTAAGACTAGGTCGACGAATAGATATGATTGACTCTGTATAGTCCAGGGCTTTACATATTGACTGACTCCATATTGCCCTGGACTCATATAATCGTGACTGGTATTATCATTCTGGAACACCACATTGGCGTTTTGCATAACGGGAATGAGATAAGCAGTATATATTTTTTTGTTAACGTGTACAAGGGTCGTCCTGTTATTGTTAAATCTGGCGACTCCTATATCTTTTTAAACTTTTCTGTACAGCCGACATCTCCCATCTGCTGCACAAAGCTAAAACTATAGGAGCAAATAATCACAACGACAAACTTCTCCATCAGCAAACACTGTGGACATGACACAACTGAGGTTCAAGTCGAGGATGATTGGGCATCAAAATTACTCTTCTGAGAGAAACTGAATCAAAACCCACCTCACTTTGGCGGCTTCTCATCGTCTGGTGGCAGTGGTGATCTTTCTCCGTCGGTGTCGAACCCGGAAGTAGCTGTTTTTGGTTTTGGTGGTCACACGTGACTAAGATAAGTAAGCCCTATTCCAATTTACTGATCAGCCAGTGGTTTTCTGTCTTTTTTTGTTACTCTGGCGCGGTATGTGCATTCACAGATTTAATGGTTGTATATGGTAGCATGTGGTCATGATATAGTTACATAATGTGATTAGCCACTGGAGGGTTACCGTGTTGGCGCGTTCTTACCAAATCTACACACGTCATCAGCATTGCCTCCATGCGTTTTCTCATCCTACGTTCTCTTGAAATGTTTTTAGGAATGCCTTTGTGTACAATATAATTATCTATCAAACGACATGTACAGCTACTCTTTCAGGGCTTCCATAAAGGGCACTATGATATAAAATGAATATTTGTTTTTCATCTTTAATGTTTTCTAGAATACCTGATCCGGAACATTGATATCCTTTTTCATTACTTTGTAAACATATAATATTACGGGGTCATCATAATATCACGTGTACTGACATTCCTGTTGGAATGTAAAACCTTTCAAACACACGTGGCATTTCGCAGTACATCCAGCTAGTACATTTCGCTTCCAGAATGAAGGTTATTTGAAGATTTAAAAGAGAAGCAAATTGTTACTTTACATGTCTCTGCTGGAAGGAGTCAGGCTTCCTATGCAAACGTCCACTTCTACATCTTTAAAGAGTATAGGTACGTACGTAACCGCCACAATGATACTTGCGTGCGAAATCACCATCAGAGGCACATTAATGATTCCAGAGTAGTTAGTACATTGACAATCAAAATTGAAAATTCGATGACGTATATCAGAATACGCATAAATCATCAACACCTTGGCATTTACATTCATTAAACTGCTTTTATCTTAAACTTAATCAATAAATGGTACAAATCCCCTTTACCTGTGACGTGAGGGAGCGTGGTTGAGGCTGCTAACCGAAGTACTTCGTCAACACACGCTAGGTGTAGGCAGCTTTGGTACTTATATGTGACGAAAATCGGTTAAACATGAAGTAATTTTAAATTGCTGCTGCCAAATTCTAACCTGGATCCTTATGAGCATATTATTCGGTGTCATAGTTATAGGTGAATGATAGGCGAATAAAATTAGGTTTTAAATATACTTTA